TATATATTACTTTTCAATCCATTGATTTCTTGTTCCACAAACAGATGCAATATATCATTTTCTTAATATTATGTTTATATGGTAAAAGTGATCTACTCAAGACAATATTTCAAAAATGTACATAAAATAGTAATAAGTATATGAATATACTGAATAATAATTAATAGACAGCGGATATTTACAGAAATTTTTAATTTACGTTACTGATATATAAAAAACAAAATTGGACAGCAGTTTGTTTCCTGTACTAAGGGTTGTGGTATGTTAATAATAACAGGTCAGTACTATTAGATTTTATTAGAATCTATATTTTACTGTGTTGCAAATCAAAGAATAATATGCATAAACATCCGCCGGTCTATGTAGTAATTAATTTATCAAAGTATTAAGAAGGGATGAGTTTTCAATGACAAAAATATTTTATTAGAAATTTGTCGCTTTAAAAATTCGTATTTTTTATTGTACAACTGGGAAAGAACGAAGCAGAGCGGAAGGGTTGGAAACCCATGAGCCTTATTCCTCCCTTGTTTTTATCTTCTCGCAATAATCGTTTACGTTTTTTTTCCCCAGCGACAAAACGTTCCACTCGGGTCCGCCAATAAAATAAGATTTTTGCTCGTAAGATTACCATATTAACGGGTCACGCGAAACGAACTTTCTGGCTCGCTTTTCCTCTCTTTATCTACACTTCCCCGTGGAGCAGCCATCGAAGGAAATCACGGAGTCGAAGCACTCTCGCCCGCATTCCTCTCGTTTCCATCAAACAAAAAACGAGTAACCTCAAATTGCACTCCATTAATCACTTATTAATCAACAAAACATTCTCGTATATTCCAAACAAACTAGTTTCCCATATATTCTTCTTGTTACATGTATACCTCACTATTTACCAACAACGAATGCAAATCAGTCGCATAATAATTAGAAGAAGAAAAAAACACAGCAAATATGTACAAATAACATTACATACTTATAAACGAAGAAGGATTTATCCATTAATATAATCGCATTCTATTTTACATTTCATATAATCTTCTTATATTCCGATTGCGCGCGAAGAATAAATTATAAACTGCATTCTTAATTTATTCCATTTCCCGATTCCAGCAACCTGCATACATTAATTACAAATCCTGTTTCGTATTTATGCAATTCCGATATTTCACTCTATCGAAACGCAACATTGATTAATTTTATATCTCCGCGCGTGAACCAAATGGACTAACGTTTCGTTCGATTTTATTTCGCGTACTACACACGAATGAAGCATCATCGGTATTATGTAGTTAAACATCCCCGGGGCCATTTTCATTCCCGTGTTCTCTCTGATTAATTAACCTGGCTCCTTTCGACCGTAACGCTCGATGATTTTCGGGAAACAGGCCATGGATTCCATATTGTCGGTGTATTAGACCGGTCCCAATGGCGCGTGGCGACGATTTCGTCGAAAAGAAATAATTTATCCGAGTCAAATCGCGCAGAAGGCCGATCTATATGTCCCCGTGACGCGTCGGTGGGACTTTCCGCGCTAGGAAAAATATTACGTCACTTATCGCGGTATTTCTATATTGCCATCGTGTAGTATATCAGTACAGGTGACGCGTCACTGCGTCCCCCCGCCCCTTATATCATCTCCGTTTCTCCGACGACGCGAATATTCTCGCAGTCGTGTCGCCCCGCGATTAATTAGACGCCATGAATCACTACGCGAGCAGGGAAGACGCCTCCGCCGTCGTGGATTTTCTCGGTTGATCGATGACGACTCGGTTGATTATTCGTCAGATTGCCACAGAAGCTTTTTATATGCAGCCCAGCTTTAAACGACGTTATTCTCGTTTATCGTGCGTCCTTCGAGCTTCCGTTTGTAAATCCTGATTCAGTGTTGTTATATTCTTATTTCCGTGTACACGTTTGAAAATTACCGTTATACATTTTGTTTTTCTGTGTATTTAACGTCGCAGGACCTAAATGGTAGTTATTAGTGACGATAACTTAAGCCTAGCATACTTCGTTTCAACGCGAAAATTTATTTTTGAAAAAATTACTTTATTATTATAATAGTTGCATTATAATATTATTTGTTTTTTTTTATTATTATTATAACGCACAGATCTACCAACCTAAAGACATTAGAATAGTTACAGCTTTTAAAGTTAAGTGGGGTATTCAAGTACCCCTGTAATGTCTTCTAGGGGTAAGTAAAAGTATGATATACGGAAGTAGATTCTTTTACAGAGTCTTAAATCTTTCGAAAAGATTCTGTTTCATTGGTTTCTTCAGTTTTGGAATCTTAATTTTAGTACGTATATCGAGATTGTATATTTTACAGATCCTACATTAAACACATATCTGTTTCTAATTGTTTTTGTTACAAAGAGAATTAGAACATTATGTCTATCCCCAAAGCTCATGGACTCAACGAATTCAAATCTCTATTGGACGTCTTTGTGAATAAGCCGTATTTCATATTATTTGATTTCGAAATTTTATTTCAAATTTTGTGAATTGATTGTCAACTGTATTATATTGTAACCATCTATATGTATACAGGTGAATTATAATGATCATACAAAACCTAGTGATGTTTCATAGAAGTCTGTCAATGGAGAGGAAACTTTTTTTAATTAACAAGACTTCTAAAGGAGTATCTGTTTAACCATGGAAAAGTGAAATTGAAGTTCGAGAGTCCGTCGACGCCTGTTTGAATTAAACCGATGAAAGAGTCCAGTGAAGTTTAAGAGTCAGGTCCGATTGTGCAGCGTTTAAGTGCTTTAGCGAGGGGATAATTCAAGTGGAATCTGTGAGCGGATTAAAATGAATTTTAAACGCTGAATAACGTATTAAACTAACGAAAACTGATTTAAAGTCCAGTTCCTCATTTTGTATACCAAAGAGTTACGAGTGATAGGGTGATATTTTAATGATAATGACGGGGTAACAGTATTGCGGTGGAAGAGAAAAACACGGGAAGAGAAATTATTACATCCCCGGGAATTAACCGGTGTACATTTGAATGAAATTTAAATATTTCACGAATAATAAAAAAGCGAAACGCGTAGGCACCTGTCCTAATCGAGTTTAAATGCGACAATTATTCCATAAATGATGAGAAACGAAATTAATGATAATTACCAGGCAGTATTTATTTAAATTATATTGTACAGACCGCTCTAAAATATATGAACAGATAAAATTTGGGTATTAACAGCGATTTACTCCATTTCGGTCCATACGAGCAACCTTACTCAAGAAAACAAATCGAACAATGTATAACAATTATCCATTCTTTTTTGAGATCATAATCTGCATATAATAAATATAGGACATTCAGGGACATACTGTATTTGACAATATTGTATGACAATTTTTTAGTAAAGAGTTTCGATAAATACAAATTTTACGATTCATAAGTTTTGATCGTGTTTGAATAGATATACAATTATCAATGGCGGCCGTACTGGACCTTCACTTCTAATCTACGGTTGCCAATGCAGGCCATATTGAAACCCTGCTGTGAATGATATAATCCTGCATAAAAGACTCATAACCATAGACTGCGTATCTTTATGCAAATTCAGATATCTATATGTTAATTTACTGAACTAAAATTATGTCAGTTTGTTTCCGCTATCAAAGATTCTCCTAGGTCTGAAATAAAGTGAAACTTAGACTACTCTACACAATTTAACTGCATTTTGAAGCACATTCGCCCTTGCGATGAACGCATAAAATTCGCGGTCCATCCATAACAATCAAGGTGACACCGTTTCATCTCATTCCAGTTCTCTGAAATTACAAATTTCGCCGAAAATCTTCATTTAACCCTAGCTTCGTAACCGAAAAGTTGCAGACTGTTTCATGGGCAGGGTAAATACTCAGGTATATACCCGAGCGCCCACCAACGACCGTTATTTAAAACCCTCTAACCCTAAACGATTTTAACTTTCTCTTTCCATTTGAAGAAAGGAATTTAGCAACCTAGTTGCTACAAACGTTCAGTTTTGTACGAAACTTCGAGCAGGGCGGACGTGCTTGGGTATTTCTAAGTTGAATATTATATTTCTTTTGTCTGCTGTTTTATTTACTATATTTTCGAGTATTTAACATTGACAAATATTAAGAAAAGTTTATTATTGTGTATTAGTGTAATGCAATTAAAGGGACGAATTATGAGTGGCAAAATTTTCGAGGTATGTAATTATAAAATATACCATATGCAGAGTGCGGTCGAGTAACATGCACAAGGGGGCACGAAGTAATAAGAAAAAAATATAGCATAAACTTTTTTGATCCGAAGTTTAGTTTTTGAGAAAATCGAGTTTGGAAATCCACTGCGTGCATCTGCAATTACGGTTCAGATATGGTTCACCGAAGAATTAAAAAATTTTTTCTATTTATTAATAATTATGTATTTTTTATTGATTTATTTGCATTTTACAACTCCTTGTTATAGTTTCATTCTTAAATTATACGTCACTTATAATTTATTCCTATGTGAATACCCGAATACCCCAGTTATAAAACAAGGCTGTTATAAACTTTGAAGTCGATCTTTTTTATATTCCCAAAAATATTTTTCAACTGTAAATACACAAATCGGTCAGAAATGAGTTAAATAACAAAGATCTGAAGGGATTTAAAGATACTTCATCGAGATCATAAAAAACTTCGAGCTCAAAATCCCAAATGGGCACCCGAATACCCGGTTACGAACAATCCGCCCCGTACCATCCACATAACCTACCCCCACTTCAACCATAAGTGACGAAAAGCAACAACCCACGTACTAACAAAACCTTCATCCATCACCTAAATAACATCCCCATCGCCACCACAACCGAGTCGAATGGTTATCAAACAAACCCTCGTTCTGTTCCCGTTCCAAAGATTCCTGGTTACCAAACAAACCCTCGTCATGTTCCCGTTCCGATGATTCCGATGACTCACGATGATTCCGTCTCCGAAACGACCCGGTAGCAAGGCACAACGCAACACGATTCAGGAACGCATATCCGACGCCACCGGTTCGACTCGACTCGACTCCGCTCGACTCGGCCCGGTCGCGGCTACGCTCCCGCCAGCCCCGGCCTCACCTATTTAGTCATTTCGTAGGAGCACTCAGTCGCGGACGCGTTCACGGGCTCGCTCCTTCGTGTGCAGTAGACCCAACCGACCCAGCAGCACCGAGACCGGCTGTGACGGACGTCGTCGTAACAGGATGAAGGACATCCGGTCGCAGGTGAGAGAGCCGTATCCACCACAACCGACCGTGCCGGGTCCCCGTCGCCCTTGTCCCCGCGGTAAAGTCCAAGGTCCCCTCCCCCCACCCCCCCCCCCCGCCGTTTGTCGACCGACCACGTGAAAACACACTCGAGCCCGCGCGGAATTTTGACAGTTATTGCTCGCGAGTGCAAAAAACCACGGATACAGTCTCTTTTTCCTAGAACGTTTTCGAACTGTTGTCCGACTACCGTCAATGCAGGACCTGGGAAGGGAGAGCGGTGGGTACTAGAGGGGGTCTTGATCGAATCGGTTTTTGAAGGTTAGGAAGTAAGTAGCGGTTCGCCCGATGGACGAGTGTAAATAAAATGATTATACGTGAATGCTGAGAGTGTAAGAAAAAAGTGAATCTGGATTTGTTTTTGAGGACGTTGAATTCGAATCGGGAGGAAGTTTGTCACGGGACCGTGATTTTACCATGATTTCGTGAGTCCATACCTCTTCCAGTGATATTCTAATAATTTAATACATATTTAGGTCGTCTGTGGACATTTACGCGAAATGACGTTTTTTAAAGTGTTTCGAGAACATCGGAGGTAATGTAGGGATTTATGTTTTCTGTACTTCTCAGAATTCTGTAGGGTATAAATTCATAATATCCGCAGTCTAGTAATATATATAAAAACAAATATTTTGTACACTGTAAGAAACACGAGACGTTTCCTGTTCTGAGATATCTAGCTGTTGTCAATGTGAGATGTAGGGGAAACAATGATTGACACTCTAGGGAAAAATGAATTAGGCGTGAATTAGGTGACCACAGAGAATTATTCGTAAGTGTATTGTTGACGACAACACATCTTCCGAGTTTTGTGATTCTGTACGAAATCACGAAATATTTTCTTGTGTGACACAGATGGTGTTTCTTTTGATACTTTTTATACGAGGCACCCGCTCCTCTTGGACCGCTACCAGTGCCGGTCGTGGCATTGACATTTTTCACCTGATTGTTTCGGGCACAGTTCTAGACAGCTTTTCGAAACTTTTCCTAGGGTCTGTAGGTAAATAAGAACTCTTTACGTGTACAACGGGAGACTAAAGTTAATTTGTATTTTTCGTGAAACAAAGTGTAGTATTATTAGTAGGGTAATTTTGTTCCTGTGTATTTGGTATTATTAGGGGTGGATGTTTATGAATATTCATTGCTTTGTAGACTAATTTAGTGTTACATACTCCTATGGATTGGAAGGTTAAGAACACAAGATCAATATGTATAATTATATAAGCTCATTAAGAAAGAAGTGTATGCTGTTTCCCTGTTTATTTTTGTAGTGATAACTATACTACGGATTTTATGCGTTCGTGACATTCACGGATGCGCAGAACATAATTTCTACCTGAAATCCTTAATAACGGAAACAGAATATTACTCGATTCTTTGGTTTTGCAAATTAGTCTATACGACAAACGAATTTGCATAAAATTCACAGTCTGAAATGGATTATAAGTGATACCATTTTCATGGTACAGCTAATTTCAGGAAGTAAACATTTACGTAGTCTTCGTTAACATTTTTATGTAAATATTTCCACAAACCCGAATTTTAGATCTAAAACGATTTTTTGTAATTTTAATCAGACTATTTGCTTAATCCCTTTTTTCGCAACGAAATTTGCGAGAGCGACAATTTTGTCGTTAGTAGCTCCTGTTTTTTCTGTTCGTTTGATTTTTTCCTAGATAGAGGAACACATTGACTTTATAATTCCAAGTAAAGCAATTAATTCTGTTACAGTCTGTTTGACCTTCCCGGTACATCGAAAGTGGATTTTCCGAGTTTCAACGGAACTGGGAATTTTCTCTTTCGGCAAAATTCGTTAGTAACCTTCTTTAACCATCTTTCTCCCGATAAAAAATATTTTTTGCAGCAATTTTATTCTTTTAATGAAAATTTAAGGCTTATGAACAGTTTTTTTGTCTTGTCTTATCTGTAGAAAACTTAAAAAAATATTCTATGATCTCGAAAGAAATAGAGCTAATAATCCCGATTCTTAATTCAGTTATTTATTAACTTGCGTCCACTTTTGCATCATGTTTGCATCCACTGAATAAAAATTGTAGTATCTGACAACTTTTTAAGTAGTTTGTTTCATTACTTTTTTTTTATATATTTGTTTATTATCTGTACGTGATTCTGAGCAGTATTTTAGCACATTTATAAAATGTTTCCCTCTTTTTGAACTTTGTGTGCGATGATACGGCAGGAAAAGTTCCTCGTTTAGGTTTAGTACGTGATTCTGTATAATAATTTTCCTTTTCCATGCAATTCCATTGTTCACACGTTTTATTGATGTTTACTTCGATGCATTATGGTACTGTGGTATTAATCAGTAATTAAACCGGTGTTTGTTCAATATTTGATCGTATTTACAAATCGAGAAATAAATACAACATTCTGAAACATTCGTTAACGATTCCTTTAACGGATAATAAACATTCGTACGTGCTTTGAAGTTATCCGTGAACAAAAAAAACAATAATTACATTTGTTGTCTCTCTTGCAGTACATTTTAATATTTATTTATCTCTCCAATTACAAATACTGCAATAATATATCTTGTTTTTATATACATATTTTAGTGTTCATTTGTTGTCTCGTTTTAAAAAAACCTACGTACAATACGAGCAACTAATTTCCGAGTGAAAACGGAAAACTTTCAAATATAAAATATTTTCCAGCTTTATCATTCCCCAAAAATTTGAACTTTCTCATCACTCTCCGGGAACTCAAAAAATTTCCATTACGATCCTAATTTATGTCTGCATAATAACACGCACAAATTATCTACACAAAATTATTTATCCATAAATCTTTACAGTACAACAAACGATTGAAAATTATTATTTCAGTTCTAATCAAATTGATCTAAACGGTGCACGAGTCAATGACGTGTCCACAGATATAACTACAATATAATAAAAAAAATCGTTTAACAGATCAAACTAGTCCAAAACTTTCAAAGGCCTCTAGAAAATCCAATTTTACGTAGACGATTAGCGAAATATTTCCATGATTATTACTTTACAAGCTAACGTCGAAGCCCAAGAAAAGAGGACGCATGATTGCGCGATGATAAAGCGACCCCGGATCGCGGAGTCGATTAAATGATCCGACGACCGATCGCGACGCTATATACGGTCTCGCTAAAAACGAATCGCGACGAACGGAGAGACGGTCGGTGTCTCTCTGGGCAGACTACGAAATCAGAGACGAGAGAGACCAATGGACCTTTCGTTCGCCGTTCGATGTCGTCATCGAAGACTGACATAATCGAGACTACGACCTCTCGGGGTCAGCATCCTCCTGCCGTGGGCCGCGTCCCAAACGAGTCTACGTATTAAATAAGCGTACCAATTAATAATCCACTACTTCTTTACTTCAATTACGAAAAGATACCTATCGAATGTAAAAGAATTTTTCTGATATTTCACTGACAAGTAGAAGGCCCCAACTTCGAGTCACCGATTTCAATGGAACTATTATGATATGTAGGTAGTAGGCTTCTACATCTTAACCAATCATCACCCATATAGAAGTAGAGATACGTAAAAGTTTTTGAGTAATTTGCTTTCGATATTCTTTGTTGTTACTTAAATATACGTACCAATTTATGTTTGCTGAATTATTCGCAGATATTGTATAGTGTCGGGACAACGTCCATGGTTTTTATCGTGACTACCAGAATTTGGAGGTTAGGTATACGTTAAATACATCCCTCTCAAAGTTTGTGATTGATTAGAGTAAGTGTGTCGATTCAGGTCAATCTTTTAATTGTTAAATCTTAATTCAAACTCTGGAATTCAAGTGACCGCGATCTTTGACGTTGAATGATGGATTTATATGGTGCCGTATTACGAAATAGTGCAATTGCACGATTTTTGTGTCGACAGATAACGAACACTGAAAACCTAATTAGCAAGAACACTAATGGTGCCTCTACAATTAATATTAAATGTGTCATAAAAGTTAACGCGACGTAAGGAGCATACCTATGTGCTGGTAAATACATCAATATTTTTGTTAGTTCAAATTGAATAGTTTGGATAGAAGATTGTTAATAAATTCGCAATGGAAATTTATTATAAGTAATGGTTACTGCCGGCGAGTGTGTAGAATCGTGACTAACAATCGTAATACAGTAAATTCTCGATAGCTCTTCAGAAAGATCTCTACGTTAAAAACTTGCGCTTCATCCCCACTACTGAGGGGTTCCATACTGCAGATAACTGATCCAAAGAGGTCCCGAATTTCGAGCGTTAATCGAAGTTTTACTGTTATTGCTGTGCAGCAAATTGCAGTCATTGGTACGTCATCTATTTGTTTCACGTCGTGTTAACAATTTCATCGTTTTGCACGAAATTATCATCGACTTAACGGCGATTCCGCCGGGCAAAGTCATTCGACATTTCCTTACGCATTTCGACGACGACGACATAATCGTTGTTTTATCTACTCCTCTATTAAGTAAAGTGTTACTAATTCGCATATCATCCGCGCTCGATCGTATTACCGTACTTTCAATATTTGCAATATTGCGACTCCGTGTCACGTTATCCGGTCATTTTATTAACTGAAATTATTGCCAGTCCGATTAATATCCGGTTAATTACGCCGACATTTTCGCGCGTATTCCAATAATGTTCCCCTTATTATCGCATTACCCCACGAATTTCCAAAATTGCAATACTTTTTAATTCCGAATTCCGGCGAAATGCTTCAACAAATATTCTATAATATTTTATTCATCGTATATAGTAACGTGTACTCAATGCTTTCTCTCTCTCTCTCTCTCGCAAGTTTCGAAGCAATCCAATCACTGTAGAATTTCGCATCACTTCGATAATTATTCGAAGTCCGAAATTTTGGAAATTCTTGTAAGTATTGTGAAAAATTTCGTGTAGTATTAAAAGTTTCGAAAGCCTTTACAATTTCGAAATATTACCAGTTCTGAAAAATGAAAA